TCAGCCGGAGGCCACTTTTACCCCCACGGCTGCGGGTTTGCGCGCTACAGAGCCGGGCCCCCCACCCTTTCCTTATGATATTAATTGGATCATATCTGACACTGTTACCCGCACCCTGGCAGCAAGCTCTCAACAAGCAGCGCCATATGCGGCTTGGCCTCCGCCACAATTTCCTCCGCCTCTGGCCCGGGCCTCGCAGCCGGGCCCTATCCAGTATCCCACCATGGCTCGCATGTCCGATTCCCATCCAGACTATGCACATGGCGGGGAGTCGTCTTCGGAGGAGGGAGAAGCCGATCCATCGGATATGGAATTATCAGATGATGCCGATATGCCACCCGAAAAGCCAGCCTTCTCTGGGCTCTTTAGACCCTCGTTATTCAAGTCGCTCCTGCACAAGGCCAAATTGGCCACGAATATGGCAGACCCAGCCCCTCAGGTTGATCAGCCTGGTCCCTCTCAACAACATGAGGCCTTGTTTACGGCACCTAAGCCGGAAGCGGACTTTATTCCGTGCCCACAGCTCTTTTCTGAGGTGGTCCAACGATCCTGGTCCACGCCTTCCTCCTTACCTGCTCCATCGGGCCTAGACAAGAAATTGTACTGTTCGGCGCCTAGTCTCCAGGAACTTCTTCAGCTGCCTACCGTAGACGCTCCAGTGGCCAATTTGACTGCTTCCTCGGTAATCTCCAACGATGTCGCCGATGGGTTGCGCTCGGAAGATCGAAAAGCTGAGTTTGCCTTTCGCCGTACACACAATGTGGCCGCCTGGGCGGTTAGGGCCGCCACCTCGGCTTCCTTCTTCAGCCGCGCATCCTTAATCTGGCTCCGCCAACTTCTGGAGCACCTCCCTCCTGCTGATTCACGCCTCCGCCAAGATGTCAACAAACTGGTGGCGGCTACTGAATATACGGCGGACGCTTCGCTCAATGCCACGAAGTTTGCTTCGCGCGCCCTGGTGTCATCCGTCACATCTCGCCGTTTATTATGGCTTAAGAACTGGAGAGCTGATGCCAAGTCTAGATGGCGCCTCGCCTCAACTCCGTATAAAGATTCCCGTCTCTTTGGGGAAGCCTTGGACCCCAGCCTTGTTGAGGACAAGGATAAACGGAAGGTAATGCCATCTTCTTACAGAAGGGCAAATCGAAAACCTTCGTCATACTCCACCAGGCAGCTCTTTCGTACCGACACAGGACCTCCCGGGTCCTTCTCTTCCAGGCCCTACTATCAAGGGTTCGACCGTTCTTCCGATAGATCTTCCTTCAGAGACTGTGGACGGAAGGCTCCAGCACCCAAACGGCCCTTCCGAGGCACAGGCTCCCGTGCCTTTAGAAGGGGAAAATGACTACACCCATCTTCCCATTGGCGGCCGTCTGACTCATTTTCTTCCCCAGTGGGAGGTCTCGACAACGGACGCCTGGGTACTCCAGACGGTCCATCTGGGCCTTACCCTGGAATTCCGCTCCCACCCTCCCTCCCACTTTGTCCAATGCCCTCTTTCGTCCAACCTGGACAAGCGCCAACTAATGGAGGCAGAAATCCATCATCTGCTCCAAATTCGAGCCATAGAACCGGTCCCGCCCCATCATTGCGGGACCGGCTTCTACTCAATTTTCTTCCTGGTCCCCAAAGCGTCGGGAGGTCACAGGGGCATCTTAGACCTCAAGAGGCTGAACGAATTTATCGTATACCATCAGTTCAAAATGGAGTCCCTCCGCTCGATACTGGCTTCCATTCGACCAGCGGACTGGATGACGTCTATCGATTTGAAAGAGGCGTACCTCCACGTGCCCATACGACTGTCCCATCGTCGTTACCTCCGCTTTGCCTACAACAACAGGCATTACCAATACAGGGCAATGCCCTTCGGCCTCTCCTCTGCCCCCAGAACCTTTACAAAGCTCCTGGCAGCAGTGGCTGCCCACCTACGTCAACATCCGGTACGGCTCCACTGCTACTTGGACGACATCCTGGTGCTCTCCCCTTCCCCGGCCCGGGCCTCTCGAGACCTGGGAGTGGTGTGTCACTGCCTTCGTCATCATGGCTTCTCCATCAACATTCCGAAGAGCCAATTGCAGCCCACCACTCGAATCTCTCACCTAGGGACGATAATAGACTCAGTGAAGGGCCAGGTGTTCCTGTCAACAGATCGGTGCTCCAGTCTCCAATCACTAACATCACAGGTCCTCTCCTCCAGGAAGGTGGCGTTGCAGCTCCTGTCCCGCCTCCTCGGAAAAATGATATCCTGCCTATCCGTCGTCCCTTGGGCTGGGTTTCACTCCCGCCAGCTCCAACGGTTCCTCCTTCCCTTTCAGAGGACCAGACGAAGCAACTCTTCCGCCCGGGTGTCCCTCCCTCCGGACGTCTCACTGTCCCTTACCTGGTGGTCTTCCCAGAGCTTACGGCAGGGCTCCCACTTTCAGAACCTGCAGCTCCTGGTAGTGACAACGGACGCCAGCCTGACAGGATGGGGAGGTCACCTTCTCTCTCAAGTTGCCCAGGGTACATGGTCACCAGAGGAGCGCCGCAAAGGGATCAACTGGCTGGAGCTCCGCGCGATCCGCCTCTCCCTCCAGCGATTCCAGGGGATCGTGTCGGGGCACCATGTCCTGATACGTACGGACAATGTAACAGCAAAGGCACACGTGAACCGCCAGGGGGGGACCCGCTCGGGACCACTTATGGAGGAAACGACTCTGCTTCTGATCTGGGCAGAGGTGCATGTCCTGTCCCTAACAGCGGAGCACATTGCCGGAACCACAAACATCACAGCGGACTGGCTCAGCAGGCAACACCTGGATCCCGCCGAGTGGCACCTTCACCCGGATCTGTTCACCGAGATCGTCCGCAGATTCGGCAGGCCTCTGGTGGATCTATTTGCCAGCCGCGACAACACGCACCTTCCCCGGTTCTTCAGCCGGTACCAGTGCCCTCAGGCGATAGGAGTCAACGCACTCGCCTCTCCCTGGCCCAGAGGTCTCCTCTATGCCTTCCCTCCTCTCCCACTCCTTCCTCGTTTGATCCGCAGGATTATAGCAGACAAGGCCGACGTCGTCCTGGTCGCACCACACTGGCCTCGGAGGCCCTGGTTTGCGGATTTGATGGAACTATCAGTGGAACGTCCATGGCGGATTCCAGGGGACAGGGTCGTCCTCAGCCAGGGGGTCATTCTGCACCCAGATCCTCAATGGTTGCAGTTGACCGCCTGGCGCTTGAGAGGATCTTGCTGAGGAGAGTCAACGTGCCTAGCAACGCGATTCCCACTATTCAAGCGTCCAGGCGACCGTCTACGTGCCGCATTTATAATGCTACCTGGGCTTCCTTTTGTTCCTGGTGCGCCAAATCCCACCTGGACCCAACATCTGCATCCATCCCTGAGGTGTTGGGATTCCTACAGGATGGTCTGGACAAGCGCCTTGCGTCTAGTACTCTTCGTCGACAGGTGGCTGCGCTCAGTACTGTCCTGTCTGCCTCCGCAACACTTCCCCTCTCGCAGGACCCTACGATTCGCGCCTTCCTTAGAGGGGCAGCCAACCTGCACCCACCTGTTATACATCGCTACCCGACTTGGGATTTGACTCTGGTCCTTCAGGCTCTCATGCATCCCCCATTTGAGCCTCTCGCTTCCATCAGCCTCCATTTTCTGACCCTTAAGGTAGCGTTCCTGGTCGCAGTTACTTCGGCCCGCCGAATATCTGAACTCGCGGCCCTATCGGTGAGAAGCGACCTCTGTGTCTTTCACACAAATCGTGTGGTACTGAGACTAGACCCCTCGTTTCTGCCTAAAGTAAATTCTTCATTCCATCGAGCCCAGGAATTGATCCTACTGGACTTCTGCCCCGAACCTCGACATCCTAAGGAAGCAAACTGGCACCTCTTAGATGTCCGATGGGCCCTGCGCAGGTATATTAAACGAACAGAGCATTTCCGAAAATCTGAATCGCTCTTCATTTCCTTTCTGCCCGCCTCCATGGGTCGGAAGGTTTCTTCCACGACGATTGGGAGATGGATTAAATCCTGCATCTCCAGGGCTTACTCGGCTCGGAACAGACCGGTTCCGCAAAGAATACTTCCGCACTCCACCAGGAGCGCCGCCACCACGGCCGCTTGGGCCACTAATGCCTCCGTCTCCGACATCTGCAGAGCGGCTACCTGGTCATCCTTGAATCCCTTCATCAGGCACTACAAGGTGGACTCCTTTGCCTCGGCGGAGGCATCCTTTGGCCGCCGGGTGCTCCAAGCTGTGTGCAACTCTTCAGACGATGTGCAGCAGCCTGTTTCCCCCCCTGTCTGAACTTGCTTGGGTAAATCCCGAAGCTTTGGATTCTCCAAGCTGCGCGTTGGAGAACGGACGTTGCTTACCTGAACGTCCTTTCTCGACGCACAGCTGGAGAATCCAACCCACCCAGATTGGCTGCTGAACCTTATTCTTACGCTCTACTGCTCCTTACTTCGTGAACAAAACTGGGACTTGGTTGAGCAAGTGGGCGTGTCTAAAGAAAAAACTCTTAAAGGAACACACTCAGTGTAGGCTATCCAACTACTGAACTACCCGAAGCTTTGGATTCTCCAGCTGCGCGTCGAGAAGGGACGTTCAGGTAAGCAACGTCTGTTTTTTTCAAGGAAGGAAAAAAAGAAGGAATATTGCCACAGGATTTAGTTCATTTTGCTTAAATCTGGACATTTATAAAACTGCTATTCCAAAACTCAGTATCATTACATGTTAATTGTAGACAATTAATATTTAATTCAAATTTGATCTTACTCAATGTCCATGTTTCTTTCACAGAAAAGAAAGACAAAAAAGTGTCTAATATAAACTGTACTATGGGAATCTTATTTTCTAATAGTTTTATCATGAAAATGATGTTTTTTACCTAAATGTAGTTGAGATCCACTAGCAGTTTCATGTTTAGAGTGAGTTATACTGTTGCATCATTTGATATTATGAATAGTTTTATTTCCTCACAGTGTTATTAACAAATTATCTTACATTTTAGTTGCTCAAGAATCAAACATACTTAAAATGAGACCAAGATCCAGGTAAGTAAACAAAAATAAAAAGTCAATCTTATCAGTATTTATTTTGCTGTTTTTGCAACAAATTGCAATTTTAAAGTAGACCAAGAGATTTAGCTATTACAATAATTCAGATAACACTTTTGAAGTGGACTTATTTTATTTTTGAATGCCTTTTGACTGACAACTTCTGTGCCCGATAGCGTTGATATAAAAATACATCACATAAACTGTTTTAGATAGAATTCACTCCTCAAAAATGAGCATTTCATTTAGTAAATAGTACTTTTCTTTTATTTCTGCAGTTTTAATTGCCTAAAAGTTTTTATGATATAGTTTACTAGATAATTGTACTTTCCCACATTATTTTGTCTTTGTGAAATGCATGGATTGTATTTATTCTACTTACAAAAATGGAAACATGTCACTGTAAATTTATAAATAATATAAGAAAAACAAAATATAGTGGTAAATATACAGTTACATATACATATACATATACAGTTACAACATATACAGTTGAAAGTTCCTTGTGATAATTATTTATATACTTTTCACATTTAAAGAAGGCCACATCTAATCCTTACTTCAATAAATGCCATACCTAACTTTTTTTTATCTTGACCTTATAATGAAGCTACAAGTACTAAGAAAGCCTAAGAAAGTTAAACTGTATAAACAAAGTAGGTAACTGTCATTCAGAAAATATTTTCTATTATTCTTCCTATAGTATTAAGATTAAATAGAGAAAAAAAAAGTATCAACAAAATAAGGTATTCTTTTGGGGGGTAATAGTTTTTATTGTTTCTAAATGACAATCTATGCACTTTTTAACCAGATGGTTTTAATAAGTGTCAGAATATAGATATATTAGTGGATTAAATTTTATTCCTTCTCGCATACTTTAGAAAATTAAATCCCTGTGTAAGAATATGTCCACTATATAGTTCCCATTCAAAATGTGTGGTCCAAGGTATTTGAAATATGCATGTTTCCAAGAGTAAAGACTGATTTGAAAGCAATAAAACAAAACAAAATTAACTCTAGCGCCAACTTTTCAAAAGTTAGTTTTATTTGAGTTGTAGTTGCTAAATTCTGCCTCTTTTTAATTCACTTTTGGAAAGGGTCTTCAAAGTGCCTGGGAATGTGAACAGCATTTGGGTCTAGTTGAATGGAGTCCCCTTCTGCTTCTTTTGTTTATTCATTTTGGTTCATCATTTTCTCTATTGGATTTTGTTTTTGTTTCTTTGTGTTTTTTTAATGATGTGTGGTCACAAAAGTCTGTAGAGATTCTCAGTCATCCAGGTCATGGTTGTCCCAAAGGTGCTTTTTCAGGAGGCAACTGGACTTCCTTGTTTTTTCTTTTGAAGATGTTTAACTTCTTGGATGAGAAGCGAAACGTCTTCAAAAGAAAAAACAAGGAAGTCCAGTTGCCTCCTGAAAAAAGCATCTTTGGGACTATGTGTGATCATCTTTTATTAATGTTTATTTTTCTTAAATACCTCCTGGAATCACATTAGTTGAGAAGTCAGAGGCCTTATAAAAGTGTGAAATAAATAACTGCAACTCCTCAGAGCAGACTTTTCCTATGATTTTGCAGCAGCTACAAAGCGTAGTCACATAATCCTTGAAAAAGACATCACTGCTTGATGGATGCTACATTCATGGTCCTCCACACTCCAAAGTATTTTTTGGTATCAAATACAAAAAGTGGCACAGCCCCCTCTGAATACATTGTTCCTCACGTATTCCTTATTTTTTGTATGTATTTCCTGGAAACGTATTACTTCCAGTTTAAACAAATTATTTCCCTTAGCAGTTTGCCAGATACTAAATTGAGTTATCTTTTAAAAAATTAGGGTAAGAAGTCAGAGGCAGATGTGCAAGTGTCTGTAAATGACTATATACTGTAAATGACTATATATATATATATTCATTTTGTATATATAAAATATGTATCTGAATTTTCCTAAAAACAAAGTCCTACTTTGGAGTAACAGCACTCCAGGTACTCTATGGAACAGTCTTATCCTGTTTACTGTTACTCTAATCACCCTTAAGAAGAAGACATTATTTTATAAGCACCCATTCATTCAATTCTCCATTAAGGAGGTGTTGATGAATCATCACCCTTAAGAAGAAGACATTATTTTATAAGCACCCATTTATTCAATTCTCCATTAAGGAGGTGTTGATGAATCATACAAAGCAGTTCAATTTCAGACAAGGTATCAGGACCCTGTCCAAACAGACAAGTAGGGATATATCATAATTTAATGAATAGCTTCCAATATAATTGTAAGACATGCTGGTTAAGGTATTTATGATATACAAGTGGGACTGAGAAGACTCAGTCATTGGGTGACTTTGGGTCAATAGTACATTCTATGCAAAACTGCATCTAGGACATCTCACCCTGGCCAATTAGTCCTGGCCAACTTGCCATGACCATCTTGCCGCAGCCAACTCAGCATGGCCAACTTGCCGCAGGACAAGAGTTACAGTAATATCAAGAAATGGTGGAATAGAATAATTAAAGAAGAGATGCCAAAGGAGGGACAAAATGAAATGTGAATGGCAAAAATATTTTTTAATAATTCTAAATAATTAAATAGAAATGTTGAATTGTCCTGGGGCAAATTGTCGCATTTTGGGCAAAACTACCTCACAAGGTTTTTGTGCAGATAAAATGAAGGGATTGTCATGTAATTGTCATCTTTCAGCTCTTGTATGAAAGATAAGATATATCCTTGATGAGTCATGAATGAGAGTATAATGAAAAAGAGTGGTTAGAACTATTCGCAGTATGAGCAAAAACCATCAATAATTTTTCTTTTTTTCAATTTCATATTTTTCCTCTGAGGTCTTATTCTAGCACATCTGTTGAAGATACAGTGAACAAAGGGGGAGAACCACCAGTTCCCCCACCACGACCTCAAAAATCACATTCCAGAGCTTCCTCTTTAGACCTAAATAGAATTTTCCAGCAAAACACTCAAGGTAAGCTATAGAACGTTTTAAACTTCCCCAAAAGCTTAAATAATACTATAAAAAATTCAAACAGTTTAAATTCTTACCTGCAAAACATCTTCCCTATTTTTCCCATAGTACAGTGTTTTTTAAAGTGTGCTTCTAGAACCCCAAGACCCATTCAAGGGTTTGCAAAAATAAAGCTAGATTTTGTTATATGTTTAGTATGGTAAGCAAAGACTAAAATTCTTTTGGGGTCTTCGATAATTTTTAAAAGTGGGAAGGGAACCTGAAAGAAAATAATTTAAAAATACTGCTGTAGTACATGGAGTATTTAAATAGGTGATCCTTGGTAGCTGCAATCTAGTTGATATTTTAAATATATAAATGAAATGTAATAGAACCAATGCCACAAAGAAATTATGTAACACCAACTGCGAACTTTTCAGTGGAGTTACTAAAGACACTGACTCTTTTTAGCTTATAACTTATAACAGTTCTTTTAGTGACCATTCAAAGTTACAATGGCACTGAAAAACGTGACTCATGATTGTTTTCACACTTACAACCGTTGCAGCATTCCTATGCTCATATGCTATGCTATGATCATAATTCTGATGCTTATCAACTGACTCATATTTATAATGGCTGTAGTGTCCCAGAGTCATGTAACCCCTTTTTGCAACCTTCTGACAAAGTCATTGGGGAAGACTGATTCACTTAACAACCTTATTACTAACTTAACAACTGCTGTGATTCACTTAACAACTGTGGAAGAAAGGTCATAAAATGGGGCAAAACTCATTTAACAAATTTCTTGCTTAACAACAGAAATTTTGAGCTCAGTTGTAGTCGTAAATCAAAGACTACCTGTAGTACGCAAATGATAAATGAAATGATATCATGCATGTACCTGTTTTTATATTGATACAATAGTGTATTGTTGAAGATAATAAACTCTTGTTAATTATCAAAACAACTTTAACCCATTTTAATTCTTTGACCATACCATATGATAATCAGCTATTGCTGCCTCTTATATACCTTTTTGTACCTCATAATGTATCACAAATTCATCAGATTCTTTATAGTTTAAATACATTGCCAAATATGGCTTAAGAGAACATGATTATAGGTTAGCATAGTTTTTAGGAGGTTTGGTGGTGGTGGTGACAACGATAGTAATAACTCTCAGCAGCTGTCTAGATATTTTTTTCCTTTGGATGTAATTTTTTTTTAAAAAAAACAAGACTGCTAATTTCAATTGAACCAGGTATTAATAGTCTTTTGAAAACGAGAGTTGGAGCCATCAGACTCTCAGGTGAGGCTCTTCCATACAGCAGATGCTGGGACCCGGAAAGTACATTTCCCTGTTCCCATAAAATGTTACTGTTTAATAGAGGGGACTTGAAACACTTAATATTTATTGGAAAGCAGTATTTTTGTATTCCTTCAAAAATTAAAGGCAATTGAATTCTATATTCACTTCCAGCAATTTGTAAATAAATCAGCCATGGTAAATTTCTACATTGTTAAACAATTCTTGCTGTATCTTTAGATTGTTTCCTGAGTTTGGATACACTATATTTGCACATGTGATTAAAACTTCAATACAAAGCAGTTTATATTCAAAAGACCAATCAGAGTGTAAACTTAATTTTGTGATCTAGGGAAAATCTAGGAGAAAAAATTGCAGAATTGCTGCAATTCTGGCAGAAAGACTAAAGAAGGTACTATATATTCATGAAGATCAATCTGGCTTTCTGCCAAAAAGACAGTTAAATGATAATGTGGGGACTGTTTTAAATATTATTGAATATTTACAACATCACAGTTAGAAACTGGCAGCTTTAATATTCTTGGATGCAGAGAAAACCTTTGACAATTTAAATTGAGCTTTTATGTTTAAAGTTTTGGAAGACATAGACTTTGGGGAATTTTATCCAAGGGATTAAAGCAGTTTATACATTACAGCAAGCAAAGTTTATTATTAATGGGGACTTAACCAAACCCTGTGAAATTCAAAAGGGTACGAGACAAGGATGCCCCCTATCTCCCTTATTGTTTATATTGATGTTGGAAGTTTTGAATAAAGATATTAGGCAAGATGAGAAAATAATAACTGGTATAAATGTTAAAAAGGACGTTTATAAATTGAGGGGATTTGCTGATGACATGGTTATATTTTTGCAAGACCCAAAACATAATATAGAATATTTGATGAGGAAATTAAATGAGTTTGGGGCTTTAACAGGTTTTAAAATAAATAAACAGAAAACAGCAATGCTTATTAAGAATATGACCTCTCAGGAGGGTGACATATTGTCTAAAAAGTCTGACTTTAAGGCTGAGAAAAAGATGAATTACCTGGGGGTTATACTGGCAAATACAAATGCAAAACTGTTTCAAAATAATTATGTGCCTCTTTGGAATGATATCAAAAAAGACTTATTGGGGTAAATTGCAATTATCATTACTGGGTAGAATTTGTGTAATTAAGATGAATGTTTTACCAAAAATGCTCTTTCTGTTTCAGACATTACCAATACTTCAAATTGATACTTCATTTAAACAATGGCAGATGGGTATCCAAGTTTATATGGCAAGGGAAAAAAACCAAGAATTAGATACAAATTACTGCAAGATGCTAAGGAAAGAGGAGGTTTGGGTTTACCAGACTTGGAATTGTATTTGATGCTTCCTGTTTGGTCTACCTAAAAGAGTGGGTTAATCTTCAGAAAAAGAGGTTACTCAATTTAGAGCGCCATCCATGAATTTGGATGGCACGGCTATTTATGGTATGACAAGGTTAAAGTAAATGTTGATTTTAATGACCTGTTTGTTAGACGTGCCATCCTAAGAGTTTAGAATAAATATAAAACAAGGGTTTTTATGAAGGTGCCTCTCTGGATGTACCCCCAGGAAGCTTTTTTTAAAAAGGAAATGGCGGTGAAGCCAGACTGGTGGACTTATGGTCAAATAGTATTTTTTATTTTGGTGATTCTATCCTCCTATCTGCCATTGGTTTACATACTTACTATTGAAAGAAGGATTCAAATTAGATAAAAGGAATTATGGGTTTTACTTTGTGAAAAATGAATTGGAAATCCTACTGCGTGATAGTGATGAACATATTATTGCTAAGACTTATAAATTGTTATTGAATTTGAATTTAGAGAATGAATATGTAAAGTATTGTATGATTCAGTGAATAAGAAACTTTGGATATAATGCTATTCTGGAACAATGGGAGAATATATGGATGACACTAAATTACAATTTAATTTTTTTTTTATGATATGTCATTGGTATTTAACACCAGATAAGTTGTCAAGAATGTATAAAGGTATTTCAGATGAATGTTGGAAATGTAAATATAAAGAAGGGACCTTTTATCATTTACGGTGGAGATGTGATAAAGCAAAGAAATATTGGAGTAGGATTCACATCTTAATACAGAAGATTCTCAAAGTTAATATACAGTAAAGATAAAACCAGAAACTTTTCTGCTGGGTTTAATGGAAAAAGACTTGGAAAAACAATTTGGAATTTTGATGTTATATAATGCAAGATTACTTTACACATAAAAATGAAAGGACAGTTTGATTCCTACAATGGATGAATCGTTGCAAAAGTTGATGGAGTTAGCAGAGATGGCCAAATTGATTGCTTTGATTAAAGAAAAGAATACAATTACTTTTGTTTTTATTTGGAATCCGCTTCTGGACTTTGTGCTTGAGGTGGGGAAAAAATAAAACTTTGATTTTGGCTTTTACTGATTAATAGCTTTGTTGTAGTAGAAATAGCTAGCTTATAATGTTATGTAAAAGTAAAAACTTGAGGTTTGATGTTACTATCATATTCTACTACACCAAAGGGAGTTAGAAGTCATTGCCTTTTTTTCTTTCTTCCCCTTGTCCCATACTTTTCCCTTTCCTTTTTCTTCCCCTATTTTCCTACTATTTTCTTTTGTATTTTTGTATTATATATTATTAATAAAAGAAATTAAGATATACAATCTAAAGGGGGGAGGGGAGATCCAGCATTAACAGCACTGAACTGTCTGCCTGTTATTTAGACAAACTCTTTGAATTTGAACAGGAAATCCAAGAAGAAACCAGCATGGTTGCACAAAGATCTCTCTGATAAATTGAAAGACAAAAGGGATAAATACAAAAAAAAAAGGGGGGGGGGGAGAAAAAGGGACACATAACTATGGCAGAATATCAGAGGATAACCCAGAGGTGAAGTCAGGAAAGCAAAGGCTCAGAATAAACAAAGACTTGCAACAACAGTCAAAGATAATTTTAAAAGTTTCTTTCAATATATAAATAATAGAAAAAAGTCAAGGAAACAGTCAGTCCACTAAAGAGAGAAGATGGCAAGGAAGTAACAGGCAGTAGAAAGAAAGCAGAGCTGCTTAACTCATTCTTTCCATCAGTTTTCACAGAAAAAGAAACTATAGCCTAATTTACCAAAAACGTAACTGTAAAAGACAGACTAGAAATAAAAATTAAAATAAGCAAGAAAATGGTAAGAGAACACCTATCTGATCTTGATGAATAAAAATCACCAGGACCTGATGGATTACATCCCAGAGTTCTAAAGGAGCTGGCAGATGTTACCTCAGAACTATTGTACCATATCTTTAAAAAATCGTGGAGCACCAGGGAACTGCCAGAGGATTGGAAAAGAGCTGATATTGTTCCCAGCTTCAAAAAAGGAAAAATAACAAACCCAGGAAACTACAAACCAATCAGTCTAACATCAATACCTGGGAAGATATTGGAAAAAAATAATTTTAAAAAACCCAGATCTGTGAACATCTAGAAACAAAGTTATAACTAGTAGCTAAGTAGCTGAGACTAAGGTGTCCGGTAGGCCATGGGTGGCAAACAACTGTCTTAGCTCCCTAATGACAGCGTCGGTGGTAGTGGTTTTCATGAGTCTGATCTCCAACCACTTGGAGAAAGCATCCATGACGACCATAAATACCTGCCCATGGAATGGGCCAGCGAAATCTATGTGTA